ATATATATAATTATATTATATTAGATGAATGAAAAAGTGAAAATTAAGATGTCCCGATCATAATCATCCATTAAGTGGGTCACTAATTGGAACCCACTTAACAGATGGTTATGATGGGACGTCTTAACACTAGAACGTCTTGATTTTTCATATTCTATTAAATGAATAATCATATAACAGTAAATAATTTTTTTTATAACTTAATTTTATTCATTTTAAAATTTAAATTCGAGTCCTTTAAAAAATACTTAAGACGTGTTAAGAGAAAGGGATTAAGAGAATGATAAATTTAATTTTAATTGTGTAATTTATCATTTGATATTAGAAAAAAAAAAAAAAATGGAAAGAAAGGAAGGAAGAAAGAAAGAGCTCCTTCAAAGAAACCGATTACAAAGAAAAATCAAACACGGCTAAGGCCATTTGATAATGGATGCACAGAATTCATTCATATAATTTTGCACAACTCTTCCATCATCAAGATAACCTCCCTTTGCGCTTTGAAAGCGAAAGCAGGGAAAGAAAATGAATTGTCAAATTAAAAACGTTTTATTCTTGGCTAAACTAAACTAAACTAATTAGAAGAAATAAAATTTATGATGTGATTTGTGAGCTCCAAAATTATGCTAGCCTCAAAAAAATTTTTGGTACTGTGCTACCTCCAAATTAAAACGCTTTCTTTTTCTCCTCCCTCTCTACATCGCGTAATTGAGGGTCCAAGTCCAAGGTCATATTATCTTATATTACAAGTTAGAAGAATGGAAATCCTACTTGGAAAGTCATCTTGGGGGGATCAAATTATCCTAATTTTGGTCAACCAACAGAATTAAACCTTCCACCAAAACTCAAACCAATCAAAAAATTTTAATCATATCCCCCCTTGTCCTTTTTCTGAAAATTAGTAACTACTAATCAAGATTCTAATAGGTATCAAATTATTCGAGTCCCAATTTGTCTTGGAATAAATAAAATTAAAAGTTTATTAATACATCAAAACTGCATTAGTCAGTTATTAACCTAGCAATACCCATATGTTCAAAGTCAGAATCTACATTGAAAAAGCAAACACGGCAGAGAAGC